TGTTTTTGGTAGTATGTTTGTTTTTGTGCCAATACTGGGGCTTAAAGGCAAGGAGGGCCTTATGTTCTTGCTTGGTTTTATCTGCTCAAGGCTGGCGCTCTACCATTTGAGTCTCAGATCCACTTCTGGCTTTTTCCTGGGTTAATTGGAGAAAAGAATCTCTTGGATTTGTCTTCCTGGGCTGGCTTCAAAACTTGATCCTCAGATCTTTCCCTTCTGAGTACATAGGATTACAAGTATAAGCAACCAGGACCCAGTTTTTCCAGTCCTGAGGCTTGAACTCAGGGCCTGGGCACTGTCCCTGAGCTTCTTTGCTCGTGGCTAGCCCTCTACCACTTGAGCCACAGAGCCACTTCTGGCTTTTTTCTGTTTATGTGGTACTGAGAAATCAAACCCAGGGCTTCATGCACTCAGGCCTTAGTAGTATTTTTGAATTAAAAAATAATTATTATATCCATAATGAGAAGTTCTAAAAAGAGAAAAATGAAATGGTCAAATTAAAAATCTTGTATCTGAGTTTAGTCGGAACTCTTTTGAGATGGAAGTGGGCTATAGCAATCATCTAATAACAAATCCTTACCAGATAGATTAGCATACAGAGTACATTATCAATTATGGGCTTATGCTTACTGACTATGGCTTTGTATTGGCACTTTTGTTTTTAAAATGGTTAGAACTAAACCTGCTATTACAGGCTTCATGTGCCATCGCTGCAGAAATCAAAGTCTGGTGTCAGCATTACCAGGACTAGTGCATATATCCTTGGATTTCTAATTCTAATTCCTAATTTCCACCTTTTAGTATTGCCCAAGAATTAGGTTTAGAGAATAGTTTCTCCTTCTGTTAACAATGGACTTTCAACTTTTTTTTTCTGGTAGTGGAGCTTGAACTCTGGGCCTGGGCACTGCCACTGAGCTCTTCAGGTCAAGGCTAGCACTCTACCACTTGAGCTACAGCACCACTTCTGGTTTTCTAGTAGCTAATTGGAGATAAGAGTCTCACAGACTTTCCTGCTCAGGCTGGCCTTGAACCTCGATCCTCAGATCTCAGTCTCCTGAGTAGCTAGGATTACAGGTGTGAGCCACCATTGGACTTTTGTAGCAGCCCAAAGTATTGTTGCTTGTCCTGGACTACCTGGCAGCCTCTTAGATCACTGTTTGATAGCAGTGACTAAGAAGACTGGCCTCTGGATGCTGACTGCCTGTATTCACATTTCCCTTCAGGCTGAGCAAGTTATTAAACTTCTGTGCCTCTACTTTGCAAGTTGAGGTTGGGTAATAGTAACTACTGCATACAATTGTTAAGTGAGGTAAATTAGTTAATTTATATTTAATTAATTTAGCATTCTGGGTTATTGGAAATGGTCAGTAGCTCTTAACTATTATTACCATAGAAGATCAAATAGTTTGAGACACTTTTAATCAATCAGGATTTTTTTTTCTATTGGCAAGGAGAACATTCACCGATTTCTTAATAAAGATAAGTTGGGGGGTAAAAATATCAATGGGAACTGGAAGGTTGGGATATAAGGCATTTCCAGTAAGAAAAAATAGTGTGTCATTATTCTGTGATGGGAAGTCACCTGGCTTGTCCCCGGCACAGGAAGTGATTCAATTTAGCTGCGTTGTCAGGTATCAGATGTTCCTTCTGAAGAAGCAGGAAATTTCAAAAGAAATGGAGACATGGATGGTTTCAGAGACCTGAGGTTTCAGGCCAGTGAATTTGGATGGGAGGTGTAAGCAGGGAGGGAGGATTGGAGGGTGTTATGATTAAGGAAGGGAGACTGTTAGAGGAAAGAGGTTAAAGACTGGAGTTGGTGGTGGCAGGAGGGTGATCTCAAGCTTAGGTAAGCATAAACTCCATCCACAGAATAGGGAACGCTAGAGAAGAATGAGTCTGGCATAGAAAGATGTTGATATTAGCTTGCAGTATAGATAAGACAGCCCAGGAAGTCTATGTTCATGGTAGAAATAAAACACTGGAACTCAAAGAATTCAGTATTGGAGGTAAAACTGGGGAGTCATTTCCAGGTGTGTGATGAGTTAGTGATGTAAAATAGTCAGTTCTTTGAATTGGGGCTTTAGACCTAAAAGAGACCCTGCATTCTTTTGGATAGTGACAGCTAAGGCAAGTGTCATAAAATGCTGGGTGTAGAAATTCAGTTCAATCGATGTGTGTGAGTCACCAGGTAAGTTGCTCAGAGCTGCCTTCATTTCCTCCAGTACCGTCTGGTCTTTCAGCTTGCTCATGCACCAGAGGAAACTGCCTATTTCTTTTTTGCCTTCCACGCACTGATGAACAGAGACTCCTATATGCATGCATGCATATATGTATGTATGCATGCATGCATGTATGCATGCATACATCTGGGGCTTGAATTTAGGGCCTTCTGCTAGTGACTCTGCATAGAAAATTAGGTTCAAATTATGAAATCTAAAAACTGCATTATAAAAAATATTTTATAAGACAGGGACTTCAAAGGCATAACTTTAAATTTCCCAAAATTTCAAGACCGAAATGTTTTATAACCCTTCATTTTGTGTGTGGTTTTCAATGGGTATAAAAATACTCCATGGGTATGTGGGTGGTTTCTCGTGTTTTGGAAAACGGTGAGAATTTGAGATGCTGAGCTGTGGATTCTGGGATGAGAACTATAATTACTTACTGATTCTTTCCTAGGATTGGCTCATGGGTGGATATCTGGTATCTAGAGATCCAGCGATCCAGAATCCACAGCAATAACCTCGCCTGTTACACCGGAAACTAAAGGAATGATGTGAGAGGGAGGGGATGTAGTCAGTAGTATATGGTCCTCCTATGCCTGTTCTCCTTGCCCTTGGCTCTCTTGACTATACAGGTCTGTGATGCGGCCTAAGTGAAGGTTGGTGCAATGGCTTCTGCTAGCCTGAGACACCGCAGCCAGTTTGCAGCTGCGATGGAAACCGTTCTAAATATAACCTAGGGCTCACTTCAGATCCTCCGCCCCCAAGCTTAGTGATGTGGTATAAACACCCTAAAAATACCTGTTGTCTGAACCTTTGAGGTATCTGAAGAGGAAGGGGGCAGGTGTGAGGGTCGGGACCAGAAGAAATTGGAGGTATTCAGAGGCTTGTCTTCCTACCAGGACTTCCTACCAGCTGCTCATTATGCAGCTTCCTGAAGCTGCTCAGTTAGCTGCCGCCATGCTGTCCTGCTCAAGGAGTCATAGTCACTGTTGGCAGATTTCAAACAAACTATTCATAGACTTGACATCTGTTGTCTGTCCCATTGACCTCAAACCTACAGCTGTCACCATGGTATGGTATTTGGACAGTTGGGTTAGTTTGATTTCACATAAATTGGAATTTTTAGAGTTGGTATAGGCTTTAGGCAATCTATTGTATATAAATTCATTAAAGCCACAGCATTTATTATGAGCCTCCATCCCCCCTCCCACCTTTTTGTGGACTTGAACTCCAGGGCCTTGCATTTTTGCTTAGCATTTTTGCTCAAGGCTAGTGCTCTACTACTCTACTACTTGAGCTACACCTCCATGTCTAGCATTTTGCTGGTTAAATGAGGATAAGAATCTTATGGAGTTTTCTGCCTGGGATGGCTTTGAACCACGATCCTTAGATCTCAAGGCCTTCTGAATACTGCAGGCATCAGCCATTAGTGTCTGGCTTAAAGTCAGATTTTTATAGCTATTGTAGCCATCAAAATTTGAAAATGGCGTCTCTTTCATTGATTATTAAATCATTCTTAATTTCACAGTATAAAAATAGGATAACAAAAATGCAACTTGTAAAATTATTAACATAAGTGATCTTGTGCAAAATTTTTCTTTTTCATTAAAAAAAATAACAGAATTGTGAAGCTTGTTTCCACACACTAAAAACTTGAGTGTTTTTAATTTCATTGAAATTAGTTGACCACGTAGCCACAGCACCAGGAATCTTCCTGGAGAAGGCATTCAGTGTGTTCTCTGGAACTGCAAGCCATCCATGGTATTGTAATATGAGGAGCACAAGTGAGCTCTGTTTTCCCAGGAGAGAAAGGCTTCAGGGAAGAATTCTAACACCAATAAGATATGCTCACAGTTGCTGTGAGCTCAAGCAGTCAGTGCCATTGGATAAAGTGGCAAAGGCCCAAGTATAAAGTAACTACCTAAGCCCCGCCTCCATGGCTCTTCTGAGAGGGTTCTGTGCATGCAGAGCCTATGCTAGGAGCTGTGCAGATGACGGCAAAGAAGCCTCACTATCTTTACAGTAAATGGATGAGATGGAGCCAGTTTGTGTGCTGAGAAGGTTTAAATATGTTGCATTATGGTGGTGGCAACATTGCATTAATTGTAAGGAGTATATATGCTTCACTGTGAGCTTCTCAAAGCTCTTCTATGTATCTGGAAGAGTGTTTGCTTGTTTATGTGTAAAAAACAAACAAACAGTTTTTTCTGAATAATGCAAACTATCAAATTGGTTAGAGAGAGTGTGTGTGTGTGTGTGTGTGTGTGTGTGTGTGTGTGTTGCTGAATGCATATATGAAGTAGTCACTTCTCAAGTTCATATTTTCTGGGATCAGTATACTTAAGCCATGAAATAGAACTGTGGGAGGGAGAGGTGATTTTGTAGGAAGGGTGTGGCTTTGGAGTTGGGAGTACCCTGAGTTTTGAAGACTCTAAGGAGGTATGTGTGGGCACTTAGAGAGTCCATGTCCAGAGGAGAGGAAGAAGCCAAGTGCTAGTGGTACATGCCAACCTGGGCAGGAAAGTCCTTGACTCTTTATCTCCAATTAGTGAGTAAAAGCTGGAAATGGAACTGTGGCTCCAGTGATAAGGCACAGCCTTGAGCAATAAAGCTAAAGGACAACACATATGCCCTGAGTTCAAGACCCATACTGGTACCCACCTCTGCCCCCACAAAAAAGTAAAAAGGAGAGGAAGGGAAAGGTTTCATCCATAGTGTGGTATGACACTGAGCATTCATACTTCTCACCTCTCAAATGTTTCTCTAAAATTCCAGAATGAAGAGCTTCGAAACTTGTCCCTTTCTGGCCATGTTGGATTTGATAGTCTCCCTGACCAGCTGGTCAACAAGTCCACTTCTCAAGGATTCTGTTTCAACATCCTATGTGTAGGTAAGTGATCTATCTCTGGTTGTCTAGCCTTAGAACAGTGTCTAAGGTAAGTGTCAGATGTGCATATGCAGGGAAATATGGAAATGACATTGTTCCTCTTCAGTGAAGCAAGACAGTAATACTGGCTTCACAGATGTGACGGTTTTGTAAAGCATCAGATGGGATATATGATATGTGAGGGTTTTGGTATTATTCAAATTAGTACTTTTATTTAGGTTGCCTGGTCAATCGACTGGCCAGTTTAATATTTGTTTTTGACAAGGAGAAGAACTTGGACCTTACCTAGCCTATAGGAAGTTGAAAGAATCACTGAGATGCCTGTAGCAAACACTGAAAAGCCTCTTAAGAATTCATTTGTAGGGCTGGGAAGGTGGCTCAGTGGTAGAGCACTTGCCTTGCATGCATGAGGCCCGGGGTTCAATTCCCCAGCACCACATAAGCAAAAAGAAAAAAGCCAGAAGTGGCACTGTGGCTCAAGTGGTAGAGCGCTAGCCTTGAGCTGAAGAGCTGAGGGACAGCGCCCAGGCCCAGAGTTCAGGCCCCACGACTGGACCAAAAAAAGAAAAGAATTCATTTGTAGGATTTCTGATTATATAGAACAATAGAAATCTACTAAAACCTTTTCTGAAGGTATATGTCTCCAGTGAGTAAAATCAAAAAGGACTTTGACTACTTAAAAAAAACTTATGATATTTAAAACCTTTGTTCTTCTAGGCTGGTGGTGTGGCTTCAGTGGTAGAAGAGTTGCCTAGCAAGTGTGAAGCCTTGGGTTCAATCCTTAGTTCTAGAAGCAAACCCAAAATCAACATTTATGCTTATAGGGCACAAGACAATCTAAAGTTCTTTTTTATGTCTGAAATAAATTGGCCTCCTTACATCAGAATCTAAACTTGACTGTAGCTGGTAGACAGCAAAGTCTGAAGGGATAGGGCTGATTTGATTCACCAGTGTCATATTTATGCCCTTTAAATGTATCACTGTAGTCTGAGCCTCTGACCTATAGGTTAACTCTCCTGTTACTTTGAAGAAATGTCCCTGGATTACAGAGATGGTTTAGGTCTGGGCAAAGTGGCTCACATCTCTAATACTAGTTCCTCAAGAGGCTGAGATTGAGGATCATGGTTTGAAATCAGCCCAGGCAAACAAAGCTGAGAAACTCTTACCTCTCATTAACCAACCAAAAGCCAAAAGTGGAGTTAGAGCTTAAGTGGTAGAGTGTCAGACTTGAATGAAAATCAAGAGCACAGGACCTTGAGTTCCAACCCCAGTATATGACAGAGAGACGAGAGGGACAGGGAGGGAGGGAGAGAGAGAGAATACTAGAGTGAACTTAGTTTGTTGCCATAGTCCTCTTTGCATATTGTTTGAGATATACCACAGCAATTCTCTAAGTGGACCACCTTGCTTCTACACTCAACAAGATGTGTTAGATTTCCTTCCAAATAAGATAAAGTGAATTTAGAAAGGGTGTTTCAATGTAAGAAGCACCATTGGCTTACTTTTTAGTAATAGCAGTTGGGGGAACAGATGTTTTCCTTTTTTCAAAAACTTAAGAAATTGAATGCATTGTAGCCTGTGTGCTAGGCTTAGGAAAGCCTGTGAAGTAGAAAGTCACAGTTGGCTGGCACACTGGATGGACCAGGCTGCTCTCTGGCATTATGTTTCCAGCACTGGATAAGAGAACGACTTCAGAGACACAGCCTGAGCAGCCAACTCTCCCCTTTTCTCACATGAAAGCCTTTTAAAATTCAGCAGGGCATCTCTGGAGTAGGCAGCTCGTTCCACAGAGTGGCATAAATGAGTTTTCTTTGGTACATGCTCATTGCAGAGCTGGGCAGTTTTTCATTAGCATAGCAATTTGTTGGCTTTTTATTGAAAAGGATGCTGAATTGTAATCATAGGCCAATTACTGTGCTGGCTGGTCTTCTAAAGCTTCCTCAACTCTGTCTCCAAATTTGGCTTCCCAACCATATCTGGTTTTTATGTCTTGGCTACTGCACAGTAGTGGAATTGGGCTTGCTGGGTAGGCTGGGTCTAGCCAAAGCATGGTGTGCAGTGACTGAGTAGCACAGTTCTGATGCTGATTGGAATTCCTCATCAGTCCATCTGTACTGCCCTTTGAGATTTCTAAAGCAGACACTACTATGATTCTTCTTAGTAGGTAATAATACCATAATTCTTGGATGCTTATTCTGCTTCCATTCTTAAATACATTTAAGATTAGTTTATTGATTAATTAATCTAATACATGCTGGCTTTTAAAAGTGTCAAGGTCTCCTCCTTTTACTTCCCAGTCCTCTTTCTATTTCTGAGAGAACACAGGATCCTTTTAGAAGCCTTTGACTTCTTTGTCCAGAAAAGCATTCTGTCTGGTAGCTTATAACAATACGAGTGTTTTATCTTCTGCTTGTGATGTCAACATGGTCTTCAGGGTCATATCTCTTTCAGGAACTTTGGGGCAGAGAAGAGAAACAGTCCTTGCTTTTGTAGCTTTTAGAGGCCTGTAGGCTCCTGTGTTCTTCCCTCTGTCTTCAAAGCCAGTAATGTGGCATCTCTGACTGTTCTTATATTGGGAAAAATTTCACAGACAATTGCAAAACTCAAGTTTAAACTCAAGATTATATCTACCTCCAACATGCACTGACAAGGAAATACGTTGAACTGTGGAGGCCAACTGGCTCCAAGGGGACAGAGAGTGTTCTCAGGGTGCTGTCTCTGGCTCGTGATCCCACTTGCTTCCGTCAAGCCTCACATTTGGGCTTTTGCCTATTAGCAGCAGTTTCCTAGCAGTTAACAGCTTACTGACCCTCAGGGAAGGAAAAAGACATTCCTCATACACCAAACTGAACGTCATAGGATTCCTGAGACTGACCAGGACTAGGTCACATGCCTAGCATTATTATCTGAGAGATGGGGTCAGGCCACTCCAAAATACTCAGGGCTCCCTGTAGAGAAAGATGTCACAATGAGACAAAAAGCTCTCTCATTCTTTTTTTAAAATGTGTTTTTTACATAGATGAGGCCATTTTTTTTCTTGTGTGTTTCTTTTCTTTTCTTCTAACTCCATACAAAGTCCTGAATATCTTGCTGTGCAAGTATCTTCAACCCTCTAGGTTTTCTGTAGCTTTGGAGATTGCTGTGGTTTCCACATGATGTAACTCCTGAGTTTACTTCTTGGGAGATTACTCACTGGTGGGATTGAAAGGTCATAGGACATTTGAGATTGGGGCCTTAGAGTTGGCAGGAGGCTCATAGATCACTTTCTTCAGGGGTCATGGTAATTCTCATAAGCTCCTGAGTCTGTTCTTTTGAGAAAATTATCATAAAAGAACAAGCCTGGGCCAGGTGCCAGTGGCTACGCCTGTAATCCTAGCTACTCAGGAGGCTGAGATCTGAAGATTGCAGTTCAAAGTCAGCCTAGGGAAGAAAGTCAATGAGACTCTTCTCTCCAACTAACCACCAGAAAACCAGAAGTGGAGCTATGGCTCAAAGTGGTAGAGCACTAACCTTGAGCAAAAAGAGCTCAGGGACAATGCCCAGGCTCTGAGTTTAAGCCCCACAACTGACAAAAAAAAAAGGGGGGGTGTTGGATGAGGAGAACAAACTTGGCTATTCCCAGCCTCTTTGACTCCCTGTCTGGCCATATGGTCTGTCACTCTCACATCATTTCTGCCATGTGAGCACTAGAGCTGAGCTGATCTCTAGCTGGTACCATGCCTTTGAGCCTCCCGAATTATGAACTTCTTTATACACATTTTTGTTGTTGTTGTTGGTTGTGGGGCTTGAACTCTGGGCCTGGGCACTGTCCCTGAGCTCTTCAGCTAAAGGCTAGTGCTTTACCACTTGAGCCACAGTACCACTTCTGGTTTTCTTAGTAGTTTATTGGAGATAAGAGTCTTAGGACTTTTCCTACCCAGCTGGCTTTGAACTGTGATCCTCAGATCTCAGCCTCCTGAGTAGCTAGGATTACAGGCATGAGCCACCAGCTTCTTTATACACTTCTTTATAAAGTTACCTAGCCTCAGGCCTTCCAGTATAGAAAATAGATGAATACAGAGCACTTTCTTTGGTTAAGAGCAGAATTAGTTCTTTGGAAGACGGGAATCTCAGCATTAAATACTAATTTATCTTCAGAGGGTAGGACATATCATATTCCTTACCACAGGTATTTTATGGCAAAATATCTATATAAGAAAACAAATTCTTACAGACAATGCAGAAAAGTATTCCAACAAATAAAAATATGTGGACCGTCTATTAGAGGAGTAGCATCACATTTAAACTGAATGTCTAATTTCTTCCCTACCTCTCACTCTACTGTCTATTTATGTTTTTACACAGTGCACACATGTGTGATGTGGTAACATTCTTCTCTTTTTCATCTTGGTCATTCACACATGCATAAATTAAGATTTAGTCAGATTAACCTCATTCATTTTATTTTCATTTATTTTTCTATAGCTTTATGTTATGAATATGAGAGAGGAGTGAGTGAGTTATGGGCACTGTTGACTCACATTAGTAATGCTAACCACTCAGGAAGCTGACTTTTGAAGATCACAGTTTAAAGTCAGCCTGGGCAGAAAAATCTGAGATTCTTATCTCTAATTAACCACTAACAAGCTGGAATTAGAGCTATGGCTTCAGTAGTAGAGCACAAGCCTTGAGGGAAAAAGCTAAGGGACAGTGTTCAAACTCTGAGTTCAAGCTCCAGTATCAGCCCCCCCCCCCCACAAAAAGTTATAGTCACATTAAGGAAAATGTTTTTATCAAAAAGCTGTGGAATCATAATTTTATTTTGTGGCAAAAGCTTGTAGTAAAAAGCAGAGGAAATAAACCAGGGCATAAATGGATCCTGGTGTGAATTTAGGCTAGTTTCAGAGGTACTAAATTAAATGTCTGCGATTAGAAGCCACATCAGTGGAGTCCTGGGAATAAATGTAATCAAGAGTGGGAGAATGGATTTTGCTTCTCCAAGAAGAGAATCCTGACAATAAATC